AGCATGATACAACAGTTTAAATCTTGCAACTAACAGTTCTACACATAGGTGGCGCCACTCGCGCCGTCACATTTACACAAAACTGGAATTTAAGATTTTTATTTTATTTATTTATTTGTCGTGTCAGGGCAACCAGTCAATTTAAGAATTTAAGATAAGACTGCCCAACTCTGATTCAACCATTATTCTAACCTCCTTCAATGTAAATGGGCTTACCTATTACCTATAGCGATAGAATAAAATAATAAATGTAATAACATGTAATAAAATAATAGAGTAAATAATGTAAATGTAATAATAATAGAGTAAAATAATAAATATAATACTAATAGCAGAGTAAAATAATAAATAACCTTGACTCGAGTATAAGCCGAGGGGATTTTTTCCAGCCTAAAAAAGGGGCTGAAAAACTAGTCTTGTATTTGAGTATATACAGTATTATAAAAAAACAAAACAAACAAAAACAAAGAAAAACAGAGCCCTTCTCTGTCCAAACAACATGCCTGCCTGCTCCTAGGCGAACGGCTACTACTCTGGCTCGGTCATTCATTACCTTGCTGATCTTGGCCGGCGGCGGCTGGGGTGCCGGCTGTGCGGGGGTCGGGACAGACTGTGCCGTGGGCTGAGACGGATGAGCCGGCTGTGGGGTCGGCTGAGGCTGCAGGCCGTGGGCTGGGATCTGGTGGACCTGCCCCGGCGTTGTCACGTTCACCATGTCGTTCGTCTGCACTTCGATTTTGTAGCCGGGGGGCAAAAAGGTGTTGAAGCCCATGATCAGGTCGGGGTGGCCCTTGAAGAGCTGGGAGACGCGGCTGATCACCCCCGGAGTGTCGATGCTGCGCAAGGAAAAGGATGGGAGAGGGGAAAGAGGCTCAGATACGTTGGAAGCGAAGGAAGCCTCCATGTTTGTCTATAGATCAGGCATGGGCCAACTTTGGCCCTCCTTCCTGGTGTTTTGGACTTCAACTCCCACAATTTCAGAACTCTAACAAAACCTTCAAAATTTCATTATTATTTCATTATTGATGATTTTTTTATGACAGAGCCAATTAGGAAATGCCATTTATAATGAAGTTTTGAAAGTTTTGTTAGAGTTCTGAAATTTTCACCACCAGAACTTTAGCAATATGTAGAAGCAAAGCACCAGCGCCCCCTAGTTTTCACCACCAGAACTTTAGTTTTGTAAGTACTTTAGAATCATTTAGAAGCATAGATTGCACATAATTGCACATAATTTTATTAACATTAATATATTAATAAAATTAATATATTATTAATATATTAAAATTAATATTTAAATAATATAAAATATTAAAATTAATATAGCATATTAATATGCTAAAATAATGTAAAATATTAACATTAATATAGTAAAATATTAAAATTAATATAGCAAAATATTAATTTTAATATATTAAAATTAATATTTCACGGATTTTCACTTATTGCGGGTGGTGCTGGAATGGAACACCCACGAGAAGTGAGGGAACACTGAATAAAGAGCTATTGAAACCTTGTTCTTGTAAACATTACAACCATATCACTTTGCTAGAAAAAAAGCCTCCTAAGAAAGAGATAACATTGGTCTGTGTGTTTTTGTTCTATTTATCATTTTGGACTACTGGTGGAGGGTCATGCTGCTGCTAAGTTACTTGGGTGCGCATTTATGGAGAGGATCCAGACATGCAGAAATGTATCACCATGCTGATTCTAAAGGTCTGTGTCCTGCCAATCGTATTTATTTAAATAGGAGAACGGATTGAATTTGCACAATCTCTATATCGTTCTTTAGTTTTCGATTCACACATTAATAAAATGAAACTCCCATCCATAACGTATATACTTTGAATAGTCCACCCAAAATGTTGATGTATGTGGAAAAACAAAGGTAAAAATGGACAGTCCACTATACCTTTGAGATTTAAACTCCTTCATTATGTCCAAGAAGTCGTTGTAAACTTGAGGCTGGCTACCAAACTGTAACTTCACTTGGTCAAGGTAGGAGAGAGCATCTTCCACCTGAGGACAAAAAAAAAAAAGACAAAGTGAAATACATCTTTAAAATTATTATAAGTATTACTATCATCATGCTGCAAGTTGCTTCTGGTGTGAGAGAATCTGCCTCAGGAAATCTGCTACAAAACAGGAGCTTTTTTGTTGAGTTCCAAGACCATAGAAGCATGGCATGTCACAAGGAAGCATGCTTGCTCCATGGTTCATTGCTTTAGATTCCTGGGATTTATAGTTTCCCAAGGTATTTCACCCTTTCTGCCAAAAATGGCAAACTACTACTCCCTGCTTGGCTCTACACTGCTATACAATCCAGTATCCTGTCCCAAATTATTTGCTTTGAATTGGATTATTTGAGTCTAATCAAATAATCCCATGTCTGATTCCACAGCAAGCTGGCTTCAGGAAAGGCAAAAGCTGCACATCGCAAGTGCTGAACCTGACTCAGCACATAGAAGATGGCTTTGAAAGGCAAGCAGATCACAGGAGCTGTCTTCATAGACCTGTCAGCAGCCTATGATACTGTGAACCATCACCTCCTCCTGAGAAAAATGTATAATGTCACAAAGGACGACCACCTCACCCGCCTCATAGGAAACCTGCTACAAAACAGGAGCTTTTTTGTTGAGTTCCAGGGCCAGAGAAGCAGATGGCGGAAACAGAAGAACGGCCTGCCTCAGGGGAGTGTGCTTGCTCCATCCATGTTCAACATCTACACAAATGACCAGCCACTGCCAGAAGGGACAGAGAGTTTCATCTATGCTGATGATCGTGCCATCACTGCCCAAGCAGGGAGCTTTGAGATGGTAGAACAGAAGCTCTCCGAAGCTCTAGGTGCTCTTACTGCCTATTACAGGGAAAGCCAGCTGATCCCTAATCCATCCAAAACACAGACATGTGCTTTTCATGTTAACAACAGACAAGAATCCCGAGCTCTGAGGATTACCTGGGAAGGAATCCCACTGGAGCATTGCAGCACACCCAAATGCCTGGGAGTCACTCTGAACTGTGCTCTGACCTACAAGAAGCACTGCCTGAACATCAAGCAAAAAGTGGGTGCTAGAAACAGTATCATATGAAAGTTGACTGGCACAACCTGGGGATCACAACCAGACACAGTGAAGACATCTGCCCTTGCGCTATGCTACTCTGCTGCTGAGTATGCATGCCCAGTGTGGAACACATCTCACCACTCTAAAACATGTCTCTTAATGAGACATGCCGCATTATCACGGGGTGTCTGCGCCCCACACCACTGGAGAAATTAAACTGCTTAGCTGGTATTGCACCATCTGACATCCGCCAGAAGTAGCAGCCAATAGTGAAAGGACCAAGGCAGAGACATCTCCATCTCATCCCTTGTTTGGGTATCAGCCAGCACGTCAACGACTTAAATCTAGAAATAGTTTTCTAAGATCTACAGAGATACTCGCTGGAACATCTCAGCAAGCGAGAGTCCAAAAGTGGCAGGCTCAAACCCAGCACCTCAATCAATGGCTGATACCAAATGAGAGACTCCCCCCTGGGCAAACAGAAAACTGGGCAACTTGGAAGGCGCTGAACAGACTGCGCTCTGGCACCACGAGATGCAGAGCCAACCTTCAGAAATGGGGCCACAAAGTGGAATCCTCGACATGTGAGTGTGGAGAAGAGCAAACCACTGACCACCTGCTGCAATGCAATCTGAGCCCTGCCACATGCACAATGGAGGACCTTCTTGCAGCAACACCGGAAGCACTCCAAGTGGTCAAAGGACATTTAATCAACTACCAAACTCACACAAATTTTGTATTTTGTCTGTTTGTTTGTTTGCTGTGTTCTGTTAGAAATGTAATATAATTGACTGGTTGCCCTGACACGACAAATAAATTATTGCTAATAATATTACAGTATAATGTTTTAGTACAGTAGTTCTCAACCTGGGGGTCGGGACCCCTGGAGGGGTCACGGGGGTTTTTTAGAGGGGTCGCCAAAGACCATCAGACAACACATTTTCTGTTGTTCATGGGGGTTCTGTGTGGGAAGTTTCACCCAATTCTATCATTGGTGCGGTTCATAATTCTCTTGATTGTAG